GTGACTGTTGAATTAATGACATAAAAAAAAGGAAGAAATGAGATTGCTTAGAACCATCTTGTGCCACAGGTGGAAGCTGCATGACAGGGATGGTAGAGCACCAAGACTTGAGAATGCCCGGATCCTTGCTAATCAAGGACTCCATGCCAGCCCTGGACTGCCTAACTTCATAAGAGAAAGAAATAAGCTTTTATCATAGTTAAGCCTCTATTTTGTTTGGGTTTTCAGTCACTCTCAATCTAATCTAATCCTAAGATAGCTTCCTGTTCTCTTGGCATATTTTATTTATGCCATATTGTTCAACTTTTCAGTGAATCTCAGACAAATCAACTTCTATACAATACAATCCCCTACTGCTCTTAGAATAAACGAAGATCTTCAACCTGGCCCAAGAACCTGCCTATTCTAGCCCGTAACCAACTGTCCAATTTCATGTTGTACCGCTCACCACTCCATACTCCTCTCTAGCCACACTGCCCTTCTTTCATCTGTGTAACTACGATGATGCCCACTGCCACAGAGCTTAGCTTTCAATGTGCTTTTCCCTTCCCTTCATCTGGTTAACTCCTAGCCAATCTTTAATCATACCTCTGGGAGCATCACTTTCTCTGGGAGCCTTCCATGACTTTCCTAACTAGATCAAAACCCCCTATTTTAGGTTGTCATAGCACCAGGTACCTCTTCTTCATAAAGTACTTTTTGAATTACAATCTAACATTTACCAGTATGCAGTCACAGATGAGTATATATATATATTACATACATATGTACACACACACACACGGTATGTATAAGATATATTAAAAATCACATACTTCTCAAAGAATGATTTTGCTTCATTCTCATGTTGATTGTAGACTAGTTCCAAGTACATGTGCACAAACAGAGGATAAAAGAGTTGGGATAACTCTGCCCGATGGCAGTCCAAGGAACACTCGATGAAGTGTTTCAGTCCACTATAGTATTCTTCATACATTGTGGGGTCTCCTTGTTGGTTGTAAGCTGACAGCACAGCACTGACATCTGGCTGGTCTTCCACAGCTACACTTCCAACTGTTTAAAAAAAAAAACACACAAAAAACAGCTTTCAAGAAAATAACCTAATATATACCAAATGACTAGGACTATTTGGCTAAGGTCCAGAGGTTGAATAATGTTTGTCTCTCTCCTCTCAAACTCTTTCCCCACAACACAATCACATAATCTTTTAATGGGATTTTTACTTTGTTTCAGTCACTTACCCAAAAAGCCTTCAACTTGTTCATATCTTAAAACAAAATTTTATTTTATTTTATTTATTTATTTGTTTATTTATTTATTTAGAGAATACATTTATTAAAGCTGGGGACAGTGAAGGAAGGGCTTACAACAGAAGAAGCAACAGGAGAGAGCCTAGGCCAGGCTTCTTTGGCTTAATGAAGAGTGAGAGAAAGGAGGCCTTGGGGACAGGTTCAGGGGGTTAGCCACTGCCCACTGCTCCCCTGGTTGCAAGTCTCATGAGGACCCTTAGGAGAATTTAGGAGATGCATGCCTGTGGGGGGAGAAGAGGGGAAGGGGAAAGGGAAAGGTATGGATGGGTGTGGTCCTAGGAGAGTGTACAAAATCTTTAGTACTCTGTAACTTTTTTTGTAACATCCTATCCTGTGTTAGCTTCATATGTATACATCTCTCACTCCTGTAAGCATTTTAAGGGTGGGAAGGACATGCCTTATTTATATTTCCAAAAGGTATACCTAAACAATTTCCAGAACCACCACTTCAAAGCAGAAAACATGAGTATTTATTTATAATACTAGAGGCCTGGTGCACGAAATTCGTTTACAGGGAAGGGGGTCCCTCAGCCCAGCCTGCACCCTCTCCAATCTGGGACCCCTCAGGGGATATCCGACTGCCTCTCGCAATCCAATCCAGGACCGCTGGCTCCTAATCACTCACCTGCCTGCTGCCTGATTGCCCCTAACTGTCCCCTATTGGCCTGATCACCCCTAACTGCACCCCTGCTGGCCTGATTGCCCCTAACCATTGCCTCGCCCCTCACAGGGACTCAGGATTCCCTCCTCCAGCTGGTCCAAGGCACGCAGGACCTGGGCCGGCTTCGCCCAGGCTGGCTGCAGCCACATCTGCAGAGGACCATGGGCAGGTGACTTTGCCTGGGCCATAGTTGCAGCTGCAGGTGCCTGGGACTTTGGGGCGGGCGACTTGTCCCTCTCCTGGGTGCAGCCTGGCTGGTCCCCATTCCTCTCTCTCCAATGTTGACTGTCTGAGCCTTTATGCATGACTGTGTGTGGGTGGGAGGACCATTTGCATAATAGCTCTTTATTATTTAGGATAGCAATAGCAAGTAATGATACATGTGTAAATTGAATTAGAGTTTGTTGGAAATTTTTAAGTTGCAATTAAAGTATTGTTATGCTGCCCTAACTGGTTTGGCTCAGTGGATAGAACGTCAGCCTGCAGACTGAAGGGTCCAAGGTTCGATTTCGGTCAGGGGCATGTGCCTTGGTTGCGGGCATGTCCTCAGTGGGAGGTGTGCAGGAGGCAGCTGATTGCTGTTTTTCTCTCATCAATGTTTCTCTCTATCCTTCTCCCTTCCTCTCTGTAAAAAGTCAATAAAATATATTTTAAAATAAGTAAAATATAGATCAAGTTTCTGAAGAGATGGGAGATTGTAACAAAATGACCAACAACATAATTCACCCATCAGATAGTTCATTCACAAAATTTAGCCTTCAGCCGAAACCGGTTCGGCTCAATGGATAAAGCGTCAGCTTGGGGACTGAAAGGTCCCGGGTTCAATTCCGGTTGAGGGCATGTACCTTGGTTGCGGGCACATCCCCAGTAGGGGGTGTGCAAGAGGCAGCTGATCGATGACTCTTTCTCATTGATGTTTCTAACTCTCTCTCTCTCTCCCTTCTCTCTGTACAAAATCAATAAAAATATATATTTTTTAAAAATTTAGCCTTCAGAAAAAATTCCCCTCATTCATATTTTTGCACATTTCTACTTATGCTATATATTCATACTTCACTTCTGGCAATGCTGCAAAGATTAAGTCTCACAAATAGAGATTAATTTGGCTAGGAGCTCTGCAATGGATAATTTAAGTCAACAAACATCTGTTAATGGTTCCGAATCACTTTTGAGACCTCAATATTGAATGCATATGAGGTTTACTGCAAGAACTTTGTAAAAGCAGTTGCTGGGAAAAGGAAGGGGGGCCCTCAGGTGTCAGGAATGGATATCCAGGCATAAACTTCTCATTGCCAGTCATTTTACATATACTATAGCTGAGCCTCCCAATCACCCACTTAATAGAGGGGGAGGGGCCACTCAACCTTAGGAAGAATAACTATATCAACATCTCCCAAGTAAAGCAGCAGAGGCACAATCTGAGCCCAGTCTATCCAATGCCTATTCCTAAACCAATGGTTCTCAAACTTTGCCATACAGCAATACCCCTTGGAAGCGTTTATTTAAATAAATAAATAAAAAATCCAGATCCCCAGATCCACTCAGTCTGAATCTGCATTCCCCAAAAGACTTAAAATTCGTGGTACTTAACCTGTAGTTTGAAGAAACACTGGCTACACTGTTCCATGACTCCCTGACTGTAGTCCGGAGCCAGTCCCTCTGCTTTTCTGTCTGTTCCCTCATCTCTGAGGCAGCAATAATGCATATCTTTACCGCGGAGCTGTGAGAATTAAGGCACAGAACCTAACTACGCATGGTACCTAACGTGTACTAGTACAGAACAGTACAAACACTGTCAGTGTCTGTGCAGACCCGCCCAAGGCTCAAGAGCCCAAACAGGAGGAAAGGGACCAAACACCTGCAGGTCCCCGCTCCCGGCGCCCACCTCCTTCCCCACCCGTCCCCGGGCTCCGCAGCCCTCAGCCTCTGGGTGGAACTGACAGCTCCACCGGAGAGAGGGTTTGACTGCGCAGCCGGCGCACCAGAGAAAGGGGCGGGCGTGCGGCCCTAGAGGCGGGCCCAGGAAATTCAAAACAAGCCCGCAGAGGTGCAGGCCCGCCAACCTCGGCGTGCCCGGCGAGCTCCCCTCCGCGCCGGCGCCCCGTCCCCGCACCCGGCGGCTCACCTTTCCCCGGAGCCGCAGGACACGTCGCTGAGCCCGAGACGGCGGCGGCGGCGGCTCCCGAAGCGCCGGTGCCCGGAGGCTCGGGGGCCGCAGGGCCGGGAGCCGAGGCGGTGACCCGGCTGAGAAGCGCGCTGGCCGCCTCGGCGCCCGCGCCGTCCGCCTCGCCCGGCGCGCTGCAGCCCGCCGCCGCCTCCTCCAGCAGCCGGGCCTCCCGGCGCAGCGCCTCCTCGGCCTCGCGAAGGTTGCTCTGCCGCAGGAACTGCAGCACGGCCAGCAGCGTCTGCCGGTCGTGGGGAGCGCCGGCCTCCGGAGCAGCGGCGGGCACCGGGGCCGCCCCCGCCGGGGCAACGGCAGGGACAGCCACCGAAGGCTTGGGGGTCCCACCATCCCCGCCGGCTGACGACGCCGCCGCAGCGTTCCCGCCGCCTCCATTGGGGCCGTTGTTGGTGGTGCCGCCGCCACCCTCGCCAGCGGCGTCCCCCGCCTGAGGAGGTAGCAGCGTCGGCGGCCCCTCAGCCTCTAACTTGACCGCCACCTCCGTCTGCTCCTCCGCCAGCGCCGCCATCTTGCGGCTGAGCCACCTTGTGCCGTCAAGTGTGATTGAGTTTTCGCCACATGGAGGGCGGGGAGAAGCATTTTTACGACACCCTCGGAGGGCACTTTACGGCAGTGGGCGGGGCGAGAAAGCGGGGAGGGGTGGGGTAGAAGAATTCGAGCGAAGAGCAACTTTCAAATAGTGAGTGACGGAGAGGCAGGAAGTTGGCGTTGGCGACCGCCTATCGCGTTTGCCTGAAAATAATTACCATTTATTGCAGACCAGCTATATTCAGGCATAGTAGTGGATGGTTTCCATTATACGACCTCTAATTGAACAATTTTGCAAGGTACTATTATTCTCACTTTACAAATGGCTCGTCTGAGACCCGAAGAATTTACATAACTTGCTAAAGTCACGCAAGAAGAAAGTGAAAGTGTCAATTTTCGAATCTAGGTATTTAACGCAAAAGCGTATACCATTTGCCAGAGGGAAGCTTCTGAGGTACTGGTAAATGTTTTATATTTTTATCTGGGTGGTGGTTATTTTTTTTTTCTTTTCTTCCCGTTTTTACTTCAGTAAAAAATTAAGCTGCACACCTAAATAAGCTCTGTAAAACTTTATTTCAATAAAAAGTCTTAAGTATCTAAATTTAAAACTGTGTGCAATGTGTACCTTCTGTATTCGTGCTATGTTATTCATTATTCAAATTGTAAAATTTCTACGCTTTAATTGTACATTTTAAAATAGTATATGCCGTTTTTGCAGTGTGCTTCTCTAGGTTATAAAACCCTGCTGCATATTTAATCTCACTTGAAACTCACAACTCTGTGGGATAGGTGCAAACAAGAAAAGTGAACCTGAGCCCTAGCTGGTTTGGCTCCATGGGTAAGAACATCGGCCTGCGGACTGAGGGTCCCAGATTCGATTCCATCACGGGCACATGTCTGGGCTATGGTCTCGATCTTCAGTCGGGAGCGTGCAGGAGTCAGCCAATCGGTGATTCTTCTCTCTTCATTCCTCTCTGAAATCTATATTTTTATAAAGTTAACCTGAGACATTGGGAATATTTAGCACAATTATTCAGGTTATTGGTTTTAAGGTCTTACTAGCTTCCTTTGACCCTGATTACCAGCTGGATCACCTAGCACAAGTTATTTACCTTACATCAGTTGCCCAATTTCTAAAATAAAGACAATAATAGTACCTCAGAAAGTTGCGTGAGGATTAAATGAGATAATGTGTATATGATACCTAACACGTAATAAATAGCTAGCTTTTTTTTTTACTTTATCTTAAAAGGTTTTCTGTAAATGTTAAAGTCCAATCATGATGTTGATGATGATTTCAAGACTGAAATAGAAAACTAATCGAATTGGATATGCAAAGTAAGATTATGAAACATGGAGTGTGGGGTGGGAAGAATTAAACAAGAATTGATTAGCATTTACTTAGCACTGACCAAGAGAGAAAGAACCTGAATCTGATGGTACATACTTATGAGATGGAGAGAATTCATCCTTTTCCTCAGAATCATTCAACTAATTTTTCTGATTCAGTATTCACTAGTTGATAATTGGTAATTGATTGAGTACTTAGATGAGCAATACCATGCTTAATAAGCCCGAAAGTGTTTTCTATTTCCTAGGAAGATGTTTTCTTCCATTATGAATAGTAAAGAACATTCTGATGCATACATTAGTCTCTCAAATCAGGCCCTGGAAACTGGGTCCACCTGTACAACCTAAAGCCCAGACACTGGACTCACAGCTACCCACTTTCTGCAGGACCCACCTTTTACCTGCCTCTGTCTTAGAGTCTGAGTTGAGACTTCAGCTGAGGATACTTACTCCAAATAAAGTGATTTTTCTATTACACTGCAATAGAGGTAAGTGTATTGAATGCCTGCAAGGCCCACTCTTAATTTTTTATTCTTTTTTCCCCTTCCTTTCTGACCTCTACTTCCATTCTATACTCTTCTTGGGATGCTTTAAGAGTGTCAATCTGGCCGAAACCGGTTTGGCTCAATGGATAGAGCATCGGCCTGCGGACTGAAAGGTCCCTGATTCGATTCCGGTCAAGGGCACATACCTGGGTTGCGGGCACATCCCCAGTGGGGGTTGTGCAAGAGGCAGCTGGTCGATGTATTTCTCTCATTGACGTTTATAACTCTCTATCCCTCTCAATTCTTCTCTGTGTAAAAATCAATAATATATATACATACATATATACATATATATATATATATATATATATATATATATATATATATATATATATTTTTTTTTTTTTTTTTTTTTTTTTTTTTAAAGAGTGTTAATCTGGCCCTAGCTGTTTTGGCTCAGTGGATAGAGCATCAGTCTGCGGACTGAAAGGTCCCAAAGTCAAGGGTACATGTCTGGGTTGCAGGCTTGATCCCAAGTAGGGGGCATTAAGGAGGCAGCCGATCAATGATTTTCTGTCATCATTTGTGTTTCTATCTCTCCCTCTCCCTTTCTTTCTGAAATCAATATATATATATATATATATATATATATATATTTACAAAGTGTCAATCTGTATTTTGTTCCTTCATAGAAGAGTTACTCTTTCTCTCTGGATGTTTCTCTTTCTTTTTGATGTTCTTTCATTTCACTCTAATGTATTTAGGATTTTTTTTTTCTCTGTATCCTGATTTGCTTTTTATGTACCCATTCAGTCTGAATTTTTTTTTTTTTTTTTTAGTTTGAGCATTTAGCAAGCATTATACCTATAAATATATCCTCCCTCTATTTTTCCCTACTCTAGGATTCTTCAGGTGTATGTATTATACTTACACTTCTATCCTCTAGGTCTATTAAATTTAATATGTTCATGTTTACCTCTCCCTGATACCTCCTAGAAGAGTTTCATAACCTGATTTTTCAGTGCAGTAAATCATTCTTGGCCTAGATCCATATTGCTAAGTAACCCATTTATTGAGCTATTTACTTCAACCATTATATGTTTTTATAGCACTTTAAATTAGTTCTTCAGGATTTATTGTTCCTGGCACTCTCCCTCCAGGGAGCATGCCTGTGCCATTCCCTTCTCCTCTCTGTCCCCTACAGGCACACATCCCCTAACTTCTCTAAGAGATGCCATGAGATTTGCAACCAGGGGAGCAATGGGCAGTGGCAGCTCATCCCAGACTAACCCCATGAACTTGTCTCCAAAGCCCCCTTTTCTCTGACTTCCCAGCGAGCCAGGGCAGCCCAGCCTACGCTCTCCTTGTTTCACTGTCCTAAGTGCATTTTTGCTGCAGCACATCAATTCTTGCTTGCTTTTCTATACTTCATCTCTTGATTGAAATATTTTCCCTCAAAAAGACAAGAACTAAGCTCTCCTCATCTCCCCAGTAACACTAACCACTTGCCACCTTCCAGGGTATGGCGTGGCTATTTGTAATTGCACTGAAGACTTTAAAAAAACACAAACTATTTAGAACCCAGCTGCTGTGGCTCAGGGCTCAAGCATCGACCTATGAACCGGGAAGTCCTGGTTTGATTCCTGGTCAGGGCACATGCCTGGATTGTGGACTCAGTCCCTAGTGTGAGGCATGCAGGAGGCAGCTGATCAATGTATCTTATCTCTTATAGTCACAGAGCTGATCCTGTGGGTTGCTGAATTATAATATAATTGCAATATAAGTGGTATTCACAGCCTGACCAGATGCACTGAATGGGAATGAGAGACACTTAGGAATCAAAATGGGGTTTAGGTGGATGCCAATGACTGAGTTCCCTGACTTACCAAATCCAAAATCCAATGAAATTCTTTTGCCATTAAAAACAACAAAAATGGCCGAAACCGGTTTGGCTCAGTGAATAGAGCATTGGTCTGCGGACTGAAAGGTCCTGGGTTCAATTCCGATCAAGGGCATGTACCTTGGTTGTGGGCACATCCCCAGTAGGGGGTGTGCAAGAGGCCCCTGATTGATGATTCTCTCTCATCGATGTTTCTAACTCTCTATCGCTCTTTCTTCCTCTCTGTAAAAAAATCAATAAAATATATATATATATTTATTTTTTTTTAAAAATGGCCGAAATCGGTTTGGCTCAATGAATAGAGCATCAGCCTGCGGATTCACGGATCCTAGGTTCTATTCCGGTCAAGGGCATGTACCTTGGTTGCAGGCACATCCCCAGTAGAGGGTGTGCAGGATGCAGCTGATCGATGTTTTTCTCATCGATGTTTCTATCTCTCTTCTCTGTAAAAAATTAATAAAATATATTTTAATAAAAATGACAAAAACGATTTATTGTTCCTGCTTCAAGTAATCCAGTTGGGTAATTTTGTTTTCCTCCTTCCTCACCCACCCCAGGTGGTGGAGTGTCTGGAGACACTTTTGGTTGCCACAACTTGGGGTGGTGCTACTGGCATCTAGCATGTAGAAGCACATAGTAGTGCTAACTTCCCACAATGCACAGGACAGCCCTAGCCCCACCACCACAAAGTATTATCAGTTCCAAAATGTCAGTAGTGCCAAGGTTGAGAAATCCTGATGTAACCAATATGAATTCTCTTTCTCTTTCTCTTTCTCTCTCTTCTCCTCCCCTCTCCTCTCCTCTCCTCTCCTCCCCTCCCCTCCCCTCCCCTCCCCCCCCCCCCCCCCCCCCCCCCTCTCCCCTCCCCCCTCTCCCCTCTCCCCTCTCCCCTCTCCTCGTTAATCCTCACCCAAGGATATTTTTCCATTGATTTTTAGAGAGAGTGGGAGGGATGGAGGGAGGGGTAGTGGGAGGGAAAGAGAGGAAGAGAAATGTAAGTGTGAGAGAGACACACAATTGATTGCCTCCTGCACATACCCTGACCAGAGCTGGGGATTGAACTTGCAACCCAGGTATGTGCCCTTGACCAGGAATCAAACCCTAGACCCTTTGATGTCTAACCACCAACCAGGGCTCTTTTTTTTTCTTTGAGGCTATGTATTATCTTACTTAAATTACTTTTATATCTGATGTATTTTATCTGTTTCTCTAGTCTAGATTGTTCACTTTCTTGCTTTAATGGGAGATGCCCCTCCTTCTATATCATTACTTTTCTCCACATTTGTATTTGTGGGTATCATTTACTTTGGCTGATATACGTATATACCCAGAGGGAGTGGCTAAAGCCTAGCATTGGGAAAAGGTGAGGGATGCCCCAAAGGGATTCATCACTCTGTTTGCTAACCCACAGGCACACAGGTGCACACACATATCCTCGGGCTTTCACGTTTTTTGCAGATCTTTACGTTAGAGCTCCATAGTACTCCATCTTGTGGCTATTCACTTGTTTATTCATTTACTCTCCTATGTGTGGGCATTTAGCTGGTTTCCAGTATTGTGCAATTACAGTGTGGCAGTGAGCAACCTTTTGCATATTTATTTTTGTATTTTTGGATTATATTTTTAGAATAAATCTTAGATGAGTGATTGATAGGTCAAAAAATAAATGCTGCCCAGAGGTGTGGCTCAGTGGTTAAGCATTGACTCATGGACCAAGAGGTCATGGTTCGATTCCTCATCAGCACACATGCCCTGGTTATGGGCTTCCTCCCCGGTAGGGTGTGTACAGGAGGCAGCTGATTGATGTTTTTCTCTCTTTGGTGTTTCTATATCTCTCTTTAAAAAAATCAATAAAAACATATATTTTTTAAAAAGATAAATGCACATGTTGTTTTCTCAGACATTTCCAAACTGTCCTCAAGATTTCTACCAATTAGCAATCCTATAAGCAATGTACAAAAGTGACTGTTTCATCACCAGAATGTTTTGTTACTTTTTAATTTTTGCTATTCTGATAGGTGGAAAATAGTACATTAGTGTGGTTTATCATCATCATTTTTTTTTTTTACATAGAGTAAAATTGAATCTTTTTTTTTTTTTTGCGTGCAGTTCTGTGAATTTCAACACATAGATTTGTGTAACCACCTGCATTCTCAGAATACAGAACCATTCCATCACTCTAAAAACTCCCTCATGCTAGCTTTTTGGAATCAAATCCTTCCCCCACCTCTAACCTCATTGATCTCTTCTGTCTCCAAAGTTTTAACCTTTCTAGAATGTCATAAAAATGCAATTATACAATATGTTACTTCTTGAGATCAGCTTGTTTCACTCAGCATAATGCCTTTGAGATTGATTTATTGTTTGACTAGAGGCCCGGTGCACAAATCTGGCTCTCTAATATCCCCCAAGGAGTCCTGGATTGTATGAGGGCACAGGCCAGGCCGAGGGACCCCACTGGTGCATGATCATGGCCAGGGAGGGACCACAGAAGGGCTCCAGAGCATGTCTGGGCCCATCTGGTCGCAATCTCCAGGACCCCAGTAGCAAGTAACCTACCTGCCTGAGTGTCGACCCCCTGGTGGTTCGTGTGCATCATAGCAACTGGTTGAACAGTCAAACTAACGGTTGACACTTAGCATATTAGGCTTTTATTATATAGGATGTTCTAATGTTTCATCTCTTTTTAAAAAATATTTTTTTATTTGAGAGATGAAGGGAAAGAGAGAGAAATATCAATGATGAAAAAGAGAAAAAGGATAAGAATTTTAAAAAATGAAAATATATGAAAAAAATCAGTGATGAGAGAGAATCATTGATAGGCTGCCTCTTGCACACCTCACACTGGGGATCAAGCCAGAAACCCAGGCATGTGCTCTGGTGGGGAATTGAACCAGGGACCTCCTGGTTCATAGGTCAGCATTTAATCACGGAGCCACATTGGCAGGGTTATCTTTTCACCTGGTGAAGAATATTTGGATTGTGTATTGGTTTCCTACAGGTGTCAAACAAAAGTACCAAATTGTTCATGTGCTAGTATATAACTATATATACACTGCTAAAAATATAGTGCTCTGTGATCAGTCATGCAGACAAATTATTGCTATCCGAAATGATACCAATTTAGTTGTTTCTAAAAGGCAGTGAAGAGAGCGTCAGCCTTTCAAAAAAAAAAAAAATTGGTTTACAACTCTCTTAAGATGCCGCCTGCAAGCCCCGCCCCACACACCTGAGCGGCCCCGCCCACGCCCGGGCTTAGGTGAGGCTCCGTGGACCACATTTCCCAGCGGGCCCCGCAGGTCTCCGCGCCTGCGCACGGCGGCCGGGGCGGCTGGAGCAACTCCCGCGCTATCCAGTCGCCTGGCCGCTTCTCGCCCGGTGTCCGACCTGGGCATGGAGAGGGTCCCGGTGCTGACGAGGGCTAACGCGGCCGCCGCCAAGGCGGAGGGAGCCGCAGCCATGCCGTCCCCACGGCCCACCTCCCCTCCCGCCCTCACCCCGGCGCCCGCCGCGGGCGAAGAGGGTCCGCCGCCTCTGGCCGAGGCGGGGGCTCCGGGCTGCTCGAGCTCCCGGCCCCCGGAGCTGAAGCCGGAGCGCAGCCTGGGCCGCTTCGTGGACGAGGACGAGGAGCTGGAAGAGGATGAGGAGCTGGAGGAGGAAGAGGAGGAGGAGGAGGAGGAGATGAGCCACTTCTCGCTGAGGCTGGAGGGGTGCCGGCCGGAATCCGAGGACGAGGAAGAGGTATGTGTCACCCCGGGGACCCCGCCGCGGCCTCCTGGACGCAGCTCGCCGCCGCCCCGGCCGAGCCCCCAGCTCGCCCCTGCAGCCTCGGGCACTGGCGTCGACCTCCGCCCCTCCCTGCCTTGCCTGCCCGGGCACGTGGCGCGGACTGGCCTTTCCCGCCCCGCTTCCTTGCGGAGTCATTGTGTGCGGTTCCTGCAGATCACTTAGGCTCCCCGGGTCCGACTGACTGGTTCTCTTAATTATTGAAGCTACTGCGTGCCAGGTGGGTGGGCGCCCAGGATACCGTGCTCCTGCCACCCTGGTGCTTGCAGTCTGGGTGTTGGGAGGATGGCAAACCCTTCGCCAATCTAGCCAGTCTTTTATTAAGATTTTTTTTTAATGTGGTAGCGCATACCTGTTCAAGCTAGGGAATAGTACACCTAGCCAATCAGAATTACTATGTTAAACTTAAGCCTCAGTATCTGGAAAGTTTGCCCATTTTTTAAAGTGACTCATAAAGCAAAATGCCCCATCATCTGGCAAAACACTGTATATCCAAAGGAATGGGATGTGTTTGAAACATTGGTTTACATCGTGTTATTGTAACTTCCAGCCCTCTGAAGGGTTGGAGGTTACTGTAACATGTTTTTATGTTGCAAAGTAAGTCACATATTGGTTAAAATGAAATTTTGGGGTTATGGCTTTAAAATTTAAGAAGGTAGGCCTGTGCCAGGTAACTCAGTTGGTTAGGTTGGGTGTCGTCACGCTATGTCAAGGTTTCAGGTTAGAGTCCAGCCAGGGCACATACAAGAAGCAGTCAATGAATGGATACATAAGTGGAACAGCAGATCTATGTTTCTCTCCCTCTCAAATCAGTAAATAAAATAAAATTGGAGAAGGCAAGGGCTTGCTTGTATTTTAAAACTATTTCCATTGCATTCGCAGCGCCTGATTAATCTCTCTGAGCTGACCCCATACATCTTGTGTTCCATTTGCAAAGGTTACTTAATAGATGCAACTACCATTACAGAATGTCTTCATACATGTAAGTATACTGTACACATTTTTGAATAACATTCAAATTTTGAAATATCTTGAAAGCATCCTAATGTGAACATTTTCTTTTTCAACAGTTTGTAAAAGCTGCATTGTAAGACATTTTTACTATAGCAACAGATGTCCAAAATGCAACATAGTAGTACATCAGACACAACCTCTTTATAACATAAGGTAAGAGGAATCTATAAGTGCAGTTTATATTTTAAGTGTGCTTTTTCTAAAAGCTTGAAGTTATGTTTTTGGGGAATATATTCACAAAATTAGAAGAAAGGAAACTATTTATTCTTTAAAGAAACACATATAGAGTACTTACTGTGTACCAGGCACTGTGATATCTGCTGGGGACTTAATTAAAAAAAAAAAAAAAAAAAAAAGGCAGAGGAATTTTTTTTCCTGAATAGTTTAATTCCATCACTCAAGTTAATGAGGCCAGTTTAGGCTTGTCATTTTCAGTATATTTAGAATTCTACTTTCTAAAAGTGATACCTGAAAAAAAACCAAAAAACTGGCCTCTTTAGAATAACCTGTCTACTGTAGGTCATTGTGGCTTATTAATCAGATTTTCAGTTCATGGTCAGTTTCCTAAGGAAAGAAAAATACCAAACGTGGATTGCTTTAGTTTGTTCAGCAAATACTATCACGTTTTTACTACCTCCATAGACGAGTGCTTTGCAGACGATACACGGGAATTCAAAATATAGCATCTGCCTTTAAGCTTACATTCTTTTTTTTCTTTTTTCTTTTTTTTAATATATTTTATTGATTTTGTACAGAGAGGACGGGAGAGAGATAGAGAGTTAGAAACATCAATAAGAGAGTCAATGATCAGCTGCCTCTTGCACACCCCTACTGGGGATGTGCCCACAACCAAGGTACATGCCCTTGACCGGAATCGAACCCGGGACCCTTCAGTCCCCAAGCCGACGCTCTATCCATTGAGCCAAACTGGTTTCGGCAAGCTTACATTCTTATCAAGGAAATAAAAACACACCTGGAACAATTTACCAAACTCTTGAAGACCCTTTGATTATAATTATGATTATACATAATTACTTGAGGTTCTCTTAAATGAGAGCCATGAGTGCCATCTAAAAGTAACTCACCTCTAAGAAAGTCGATAGCCACTCCCAAGTACTTACAAAGCCTCATTCACTCTGTACCAAAATGCATTTTCCTGAATTCTGAGGTGTTCTCCATCCTTTCCTTTTATTAGGTTGGACCGGCAGTTACAAGACATAGTGTACAAATTAGTGATCGATCTAGAGGAAAGTAAGTTTATTTTATTACATAGTTATGAATCCCAGAATCTCTACTGACTCTACGAGTTACATTTAAAGTGTAATTTAGTCTGTGTTTTATCATTTTTTAGGAGAAAAAAAGCAAATGCATGATTTCTATAAAGAAAGAGGTCTAGAAGTACCTAAACCTGGTAAGTTTGGGTGTATACTATAATGGATGTATAGATTAAAGAACACTTTAATGATAGCGGGTTATTTTATGACCAAAGAGAGAAAGATATGGAAGGTAATGATATGGTATAATCCAATTTAATCATTTATTTTTATAAGAATTAAAAAGTATAGGCTCTGGAGCTGAATTGTGTGAGTTTGATCCTAACTCTACCACGTTAGTTGGCAAATTACTTCAATGTCTCAGTTTCCTCAATACAAAGCACTAAAGCAGTGCCTGGAACATAGTAACTGCTGAAACATTAGTTTTAATGATGATGTAATGTCACACAGTATGGAAGTTAGATAGATTTGAGTTTAAGTCCACTTACTATGTGGATTGTAAAACTTTAGGCAAATTGCCTAATCTCACTAAACGGTAATCTCCGTTTCTTTACAGCTAAAAAAAAAAAAAGTAAGAATAGTTTCTTTGCCACAGAATTATAACAAGGATTAAATGAAATGATGTATATAAAGTGCTGAGCATATATATAAACCCCCTGGCACCTAGTGCTTGTTTAGGGTTATTTACAACCGTTGCTGTTACGATGAGCTCTTTCTGTGGCCCTGATAGACCAGCCACACATGTCTGCCTTCCATTATGGATTGGTCCCCAGGCTTGCCTCTAATTGCACTGGCTGTAGATTGAGTTCTTTATGTTCTTGTAGTCAACATAGTTATAATAGCTGAGCAATTACTTTTCAGAGATCTCAATTTATGAAGTTTTTATTCTAACTCAGCTTTTTGGTTTGGCTATCAAATAGCTGTTCCACAGCCAGTCCCGTCAAGCAAAGGAAGATCTAAAAAAGCCTTAGAAGTGTTTCGGATTCCACCTGAACTTGATATGTCTTTGTTATTAGAATTCATTGGGTGAGTATCCTAAACCTTTCTACCTCTTAACCTTAAAATAAAAAATGTTTAAAAGTCCCAACTGTTATGAAATCATCCTGGACTTAAGTAAAATCAAATTTTTCTGATTTCCTTTTAAAAATTATTTATGAAGCCGAAGCCGGTTTGGCTCAGCGGTAGAGCATCGGTCTGCGGACTGAAAGGGTCTCAGGTTCAATTCCGGTCAAGGGCATGTACCTTGGTTACGGGCACATCCCCAGTAGGGGGTGTGCAGGAGGCGGCTGGTTGATGTTTCTCTCTCATCGTCATTTCTAGCTCTCTATCTCTCTCCCTCTCTCCCTTTCTCTCTGTTAAAAATCAATAAAATATATTTTAAAAAAATTATGCAATATTTAAGACTTAGAAAAAGATTTAATACGCGCTTGTATCTCCACCATCGGACTTAGGAAATAAGCCATTTTTTTTTTATTTTTTTTAAAATATATTTTATTGATTTTTTTACAGAGAGGAAGGGAGAGGGATAGAGAGTTCAAAATATCGATGAGAGAGAGCCATCCATCAGCTGCCTCTTGCACACCCCCTACTGGGGATTTGCCCACAACCAAGGTAGTACATGCCCTTGACCGGAATCGAACCCGGGACCTTTCAGTCCGCAGACCGACGCTCTACCACTGAGCCAAACTGGCTTTGACAATAAGCCATTCTTATATGGCAGAAGCCTCTTGGCTACCTGTTCATTCTTCTTCCCTTTAGAGTTTAATAACCACAATCCTAAAAGTGATGCTTGTCATTCCCCTGCATTTTTAATGTACTTGCCACTGTGTATCTATTTCCAAGCAATATATAGAATTGTTTTTGCCCATTTAAAAACTGGAAATGGCCGAGACTGGTTTGGCTCAATGGATAGAGCGTCAGCTTGGGGACTGAAGGGTCCCGGGTTCGATTCCGGTCAAGGGCATGTACCTTGGTTGCCGGCATATCCCCAGTAGGGGGTGTGCAGGAGGCAGCTGATCAATGACTCTCTCTCCCTTCCTCTCTGTACAAAAATCAATAAAATATATTAAAAACAAAACAAAACAAAAAAAAAACAAAAAAAAAAACTGGAAATGGCCCAGATGTGCCTCAGTGGTTGAGCATCAACTCAATGCACCAGGACAGTGGTTGGCAAACTCATTAGTCAACAGAGCCAAATATCAACAGTTCAACGATTGAAATTTCTTTTGAGAGCCAAATCTTTTAAAGTTAAACTTCTCCTAATGCCACTTCTTCAAAATACAATAGTCTCCCCCAGGCCGTGGTATTTTGTGGCAGAGCCACACACAAGGGGCCAAAGAACCACATGTGGCTTGCGAGCCAGTTTGTCGACCACGGCTTCAGGACATCACCTATTTGATTACCAGTCAGGCATGTGCCTGGGTTTACTGGCTTAACCCCCAGCAGGGGGTATGCAGGAGGCAGCAGGTGATGTTTCTCTCTCTCCTTTCCTATTCCTCTCTGAGTCTATAATGGGGGAAAGTTTTACTTTTTTTAAAATTTTTATTTATTGATGTGAGAGAGAAAAACATCAATTTGTTGCTTCACTTATTTATGCATTCATTGGTGATTCTTGTATATACCCTGGACAGGGATCAAATCCACAACCTTAGTGTATCAGGATGACACTAATCAACTGAGTTACCTGACCACGACAAGTTTTACTTCTCAGTGTATTTGCATATTTACTTTGTAACTTGATCTTTAATAAGTCTAATTTAAATTTAAAAATTGAAAGGAATTTCTATTTCTAAGTTACTTGGGGGAAATTTAATCTTTTCTACAATAGGTGCTCACAATCATTATTTTTATACCATTTTTAGAAGTAGCAAGGATACACTTTTAAAAAGTGTCAGTATATATTGTACAAAAATGGCAAATAGGTTACGGGTATGCCACCATTATCTCTATGCTCACAGCAGAAATCAGTAATTAAGCATGGCAGGCTTTCCTAATGAGAGAGACTTGACAGCTGTGTTCAAGGCAGTCATTACCACTTGCAATAGTTGTTATGTTAACACATTCTTTGCTATAGAAAAAAGAGCCCTCACTTGGAATAAGGAGATCTAGATTTAAGTTCATCCTACTTCCTCTGTTATCTAGCTTTGTGCTTTGTAAACTTAGACAAATTGCTTTTTGTTTATTCATAAGATATGTATTAACCAGTTAACCACCACGAAATTCTGAATTTAATTAAAAAAGGTCTGCCACATGAGTCTATAGTGGCTTATAGTGTACAAGGCCCTGCCATGTACCAGCATAGCTATGTCTAGCTGCTGGGAATATAGTTTGAATAAGTCAGCTTGCCCTCATGGAACTTTTAATTTCTTAGAACTTAAGTTTCTCAATCTGTAAAACAAGACAATTGAACTTGATGATTATGCTGGGTAGTCTGTCTTTTATATAGTTCTTTATCTGTTTTCAAATGATTATGAGAAAGAAAGCTTTCAGTGCAGCAGGGAGTCCTTTTTTGTTGTTTTTGTTTTTTTAATATTTTTATTGATTTCAGAGAGGAAGGGACAGGGAGAGAGAGACGGAAACATCAATGATGAGAGAGTATGATTGATCAGCTGCATCCTGCACGCCCTACACTGGAGATTGAGCCCCCAACCTGGGCATGTGACCTTGACTGAAATCAAACTGGAACCCTTCAGTTTGCAGGCTGATGCTCTATCCATTGAGCCAAACTGGCTATGGCCAGCAGAGGGTCCTTTTGAAAGAGAACTTCCATTGGCAAAGAGGTGTGTGTTTTTTTTTACATCCCCTGTCCCCAGAATTAAATCTCCATGTTTTCACTGCATGGAAAAGCTTTTGTGTCTTCACAAAAGTCAAGCTACCATAGGAAGCTCTTTCGGGGCAGGGGACAAGTAGCAGGTGAGTTTTAACCTGATGTAAGTACAAGGGCAAGTTTGGTTCTGTCTCAGAAAAAGAAAAAAGAAGTCTATCTTTTAAAGGTTACTATAGAGAAAAAAAACCAAAACCATTCAATTATAATAGAATAAAAAGCAAAAGGAAATTTTATTTTATACTGGAAAGTGTTAGAATGCTACATACGGGGAAATCTAAATATTAAGAACTAGTGACCCGGTACACAGATTTATGCACATTGAAATGAAATTATTTAGAAGGTGACCAAGATGGGCCAGTCATGCTCTGGAGCCAACCTCCCATGGTCCTTTCCCGTCTACCGAGTGATTGGGGACACTCTAGCAGGTGGGATCCCTTGGCTTGGCCTGCGGAGATTGGGTCGAAACAGGCTCTCTGACATCCCCCAAGGGGTCCCGGAGTGCGAGAGGGCACTCTGCAAAGTTGCTCTTATACAGGGTGTGGAACCCAAACACAAATGTGCAGAAAACCAGATGCAGGCTGACAGTGCCCCAGCAACAACATAACCCACAGCTGAAGGTAGAATCACGGGCCCCTGAAGGAATTGGGCTCCCTCCTCTCTGGCTTCAGGGTATGCCACCTGAAAACCACTGCTGCCGAGTCACTGCAGCTTTGTAGCTCCTGGGTTGAGCGTCTGCCCCTTGGTGGTAAGTGCACATTATAGCGACCAGTCGGACGATGGGACACTTGGCATGTTAGCCTTTTATATATATGTAGATATACTAAAAAGTTAAGATTTCTAATAAATAACCATGACTTCCCCAAAGCTGTTGATGCACCATGCAAAGCTTCATTACTAGCCAGATCTAGTGCAAGGACATATAATAAGACAGTTTTGATATGTCCAAATCTTAAACTTTAATAGTTCTGAAATTGGAAACTCCTGTAAGATACTATTGCATGTTCCAATAGCTTTGCCAAAAAAGAAACACACAGATAATAGTATGGTTTTTTCAATAAAGGGCAACCACAAAAAAATAAAAAGAAAGGAAATTAAAAGAATATCATTTTAACTCCTGGAAATATACAAAGTAGTATAACCTAGCCAGTGTGGTTCAGGTTGTGTCGACCTATGAACCAGGCAGTCACAGTTCAGTTCCTGGTCAAGGCACTTGCCCAGGTTGTGGGCTTGATCTTCAGTGGGGGGTGTGAAGGAGGCAGCTGACCGATTCTCTCATCAATTCTTCTATCTCCCCTCTCTCACTGAAATCAGTAAAGATATTTAAAAAACAAAAACATAATATAAAATACCACTGCCCTTTTTTTACCACTAGGTGGCAGAAATGACAATTAACTACACTTGTTTATATCATCAAGCAGTGTTTCCCAAACTTTTGACATATGTGTACCCGTTCTATAATTTTCGTAACGCTGAGTACCCCTCGTATTCATGAGAACGTAGAATTAGGCGCAGCTAAGCACGGTGCAGTGCATATCCCCACCAAACTCCGGTGCAAGCGTACCCCCGCCAAACTCTTGCCATACCCCTGGGGGTATGCGTACCACACTTTGGGAAACACTGCGACCTAAAGGGTTAGGTATCCATGTTTAAAAATTAAAATGATGTTCTTTAAATGTTTATATTTATGTTATTTTTCTGTGTTAGGTAGTTAAACATATAGTTTAAAGTATTTTATTGATTAATTTTGCTTTCGTTTTTCAGTGCTAATGAAGGCACAGGACATTTTAAGGTATTTTATTTTTATTTTTCATTTACTTTACAAGAGGACTCTGTAAAAGTTTAAGAATCAGATATGCAATCATATGGCTATTGTCTTCAATTGCAATAAAGAGTGTTTTATAAATAAAAGTTTTTGAAATATGAAGTACATTCAATAATGCTCATAATAGGTTTATGAGAAAATAATTATTAAGTAGGAATTTGTTATTAATTCAGACTGTAGTCTAAGGAAGAATAAGTGAGTAACTTTCAAAAGTCTAAAGATAAATACTATCTTAATTTGGTGATAAAAAAATGTTTCAAAGCATTTTTTGCATAGTTGGCATTTAGAGTTAAGTATGAGCTTAAAATTTCATTTGCATGTAACATTTTTAGCTCAAGTTAACCTGCCCCAACTTGTTATTTGGCAAGCTAATTGTTTTTCTTTTAATTCTGTATTTATAGTGGAATTCTAGTTACAGATTTTGACATTATAACTCAGTACCTAAAAAGATGTATTTATATCTTATCTTGGAATTAAAATAAATATATCTGACTAGAATGATTTCTGGTTATTAAACTTTTCACCATGTAGAGTTATAGCATGAAAATTATAAACCCTGTTTGTTCAATTTAAAAGCAGTAATTTAGTTCAGGAAAGCTTTTAATTATGCAAACTTTTAAACATACTGAAAAGTAGGCAAAATAAAACCTTCATGTATCCAACACTTAGCTTTACCACTACACTAATGGCCAATTTAATGTCTTATACCTCCATCTACTTACCTTCCTTCTGGTATTACTCTGTAACAAAGCTCTATCATTTTGCTACTTCATTTGTAAATGTTTCAGTATTAAAAATATATATTTTTTTAATGACCATGTATCATACCCAAAAAAGTTACAAAAATGTCAGTATCATGAAACATAAAAATACAGTGTCAGAATTATTCTAGATTAAAGGAGATGACAGAAACATGATAGTAAAGTATAATATATGATCCTTTATTAACAATAACTCTTTATCTGCTTCCTATGTGCCAGGAATTTTTACATACATCATATTACTTTCCTCATGATAATTCTCTGAAATAGATGCCATTATCCCTATTTACAAATGGGAACATGGATGCACAGAAAGATTTGAAAACTTACCCAAAGATTTATAGATAGAAAATTAACAGAACCAGGGTTTAAACCCAGGCAGTCAGCCTGCCTTTGGAATACCTGCACTTAACAACTATACTATGTACTACACTAAGGTAATAAGAGATAGATCTATTGTCAGGGAAGGTCTCAAGAAACCAAACTATAACCCTGGCTGGTGTGGCTCAGTTGCTTGGGACATCTGCCTGTGCAATGAGAGGTTGCCAGTTTGATTCCTTGTCTGGGCACATACCCAGTTTTGGGCTTGATCCCCAGTAGAGGGTGTGCAGGAGGCAGCTGGTCAATGTTTCTCTCTCCCTCTCCCTTTCTGAAATCAATAAAGATATATTTAAAGAAAAGAAAAGAAAGCTGAGCACTGTCATAGAGAAAAAACATGCCTCACCTGCCTAGATTCTCTTGGTGGTCATTCTGGGCACCCTCTCTGCTAGTGCTAGAGAAACACTGCTCAAGTTTTTTAGTTCTGATTACCCCGGCATTTCATTTACATTAGATATAATCCTTAAAATGTCTTCAAAGAGAGTGGCTGGATAGTATTAGTTTCTATGTTAAAACTATGTGGTCTTTCCACCTGTTACCTCAGACCATTGGATCAGATTCCAACCACATATGTCTAGATGTTAATCTTTTTATTTTAACTTATAAAATAAAACGCTTTATTACAGAAAATTTCAAACATACAAAAGTAGACAGACTCTATAATAATAAAAGCGGAATATGCTAATTAGACCAGACATCCTTCCAGACAAAGCCAGAGCTGTGAGGGTCAAGGCGGCTGCCACAAGTGCGGGTCAACTCCTTTGCACGAATTTCATGCATTGGGCCTCTAATAGTATATTAAACACCCATGTACACATCACTCAAATCATTATAAATTTATGGCCAATCTCATTTCATCTATGCCTTCATCACTTGACTTATTCTCATATATTTTGAAGCAAATCCCAGACTGTATCTTAGTATATAATTCAGTTTGTTTCTAAAAGATAAAGACTTTTGCTGGGACCAGTTTGGCTCAGTGGATAGAGTGTCGTCCTGGGGACTGAATGGTCCCGGGTTTGATTCTGGTCAAGGGCATGTACCTTGGTTGCGGGTGCATCCCCAGTGGGGGGTGTGCAAGAGGCAGCTGATCGATGATTCTCTCTCATCAATGTTTCTAACTCTCTATCCCTCTCTCTTCCTCTCTGAAAAATCAATAAAATATATTTTAAAAAAAAGATAAAGACTTTTTACAAACATAATAATGATACTAATATTTTTTATTTTTATTTTTTTTAAATAAGTTTTTATTGTTCATATTATTACAAATGTTCCTTTTTTTCCCCCCACCATTGCTCTCCTCCACCAGGTTCCCACCCCACCCTCTGCCCTTTCCCCTCTCCCCGTTGTCCTCATCCATAGGTGCACAGTTTATGTTCAGTCTCTTCCCACGCCCCCCTCTCCCCTTTTCCCCAAGAATCGTCAGTTCACTCCCCTTCCATACCTCTGATTCTATTATATTCAACAGTTAATATTGTTCATCAGATTTTTTTAATTTCCTTGGTTTTTAGATTCACTTGTTGATAATTACGTATTTGTTGTTCATAATTTTTATCTTTGTTTACTTTCTCTTCTGAAAGAACCCCCTTCAGCAATTCATATAATTCTGGTTTGGCGGTGATGAACTCCTTTAGCTTTTTTTTATTAGTGAAGCTCTTTATCTGGCCTTCGATTCTGAGTGATAGCTTTGCTGGGTAGATTATTTTTGGCTGTAGATTCTTGCTATTCATCACCTTGAATATTTCTTGCCATTCCCTTCTGGCCTGCGTGGTTTCTGTTGAGAAGTCAGCTGATAATCGTATAGGTGCTCCTTTATAGGTTACTACCTTCTTTGCTCTTGCTTCTTTTAATATTCTCTCTTTGTCTTTTGCTCTTGGAATTTTAATAATGATGTGTCTCGGTGTGGTCCTCTTTGGATTCCTTTTGTTTGGAGTTCTGTGCGCTTCCTGGACTTGTAAGTCTAATTCTTTCACCAGGTGGGGGAAGTTTTCTGTGACTATTTTTTCAGTATGTTTTTGGTATCTTGCTCTCTCTCATCTTCTGGAACCCCCATAATTCTGATGTTGGTTCGCTTGAAGTTGTCCCAGAGGTTTCTTACATTATCTTCAATTTTCTGGATTCTCTTGCCTTCTAGCTTCTGTGGAGGAGTGTCTTCTGGCTCTTTATGTTCCAAATCTTTGACTTGATTCTTGCGATCTTCCCTTCTGTTTTTAGGACTCTGTAAAATGTTTTTTATTTCAGACAATGTATTCTTTATTTCTTGTTGATCCCTTATCATTTCTTGTTGACTCCTTATTAATTCTAGTTGATCGCTTTTCATATCCTCATAGGCCTTATCCATCTTTTCTAGGAAATTCTTGAAAAATCTTATAAGCGTAGATTTGATCTCTATATCCAGACGCTTTTTGTCCTCCATTTCTTTCGTTTGTGATCTATTTTGTTGTCGCATTTCGCAGTTACAGATGGGACGGGGTTTCAGGGTGGAGCCTGCAGCTTTGGCTTCCATCAGCCCCGCCCTATGCAGGTCCTTCAGTGCTCGCTGCTGCCGGCGCCTCTGAGAGAAAGGTGCCCTCGATTTTCGCCTGCTGCCAAACAGTCTATGCTCTCCCCCAATGAGCCCGGTATTGGGGTTCAGTTCAGTTGGAAGTGGAGTTGGAGGTGGCGTTCACAGCAGTCTGGAGCCCCAGTCTCCTTCCCATCAGGGCAATCCCGCGGCACTGCCGACCGTCCCTTCTCTGCGCTTGTGTGCGCCTCTGGGATCTCCTTTCGCCTCTCCCCGGGGTTCCGCCTTACAGCCCTGCTCCCTATGGCTGAGCCTGAGTCCCCGGGGTCAGGCCTAGAACTGAGGTTCAGAGCAGTCTGGGGCCCAGCACAGTCGGAGTTTTATCTCCTTTCCGCTAGGGAATGCCCGCCAGGCACTCCGCCTCCCCCTCCTCTCTGGCTCCGTCCTCTCCTTGCCTCCGTACCTTGGGCTTTTCCAGCTCCTCCGCGCCTCCTTCTGGTTTTCTCCTTGCTTCTCGCTGTAGAATTTCCAGTCAGTCAACCTTCCTGTAGTTCTGGGCAATGTCCGTTATATATTTTAGTTGTATTTTATTGAAATTGTTGTGTGCGGCTGCGGCTAGGTGTTCACCTGGGCGCAGCCATCTTGGATCTCGATACTAATAATTTTTAAATTAATAGTAGTAGCCCTAGCTGGTTTGGCTAATTGGAGAGAGCGTCAGCCTGCGGACTGAAGAGTCCCAGGTTTGATTCTGGTCAAGGGCACATGCCTGGATTGCGGGCTTGATCTCAGTAGGGGACGTGCAGGAGGCAGCCAATCAGTGATTCCCTCTCATCATTGATGTTTCTATCTCTCCCTCTCCCTTTCTGAAATTAATAAAGAAATATATTTTTAAAAATAATAGTAATAACTTAATCAAGTATCCACATTCTATTTAAATTTCCTACATTGTCTCATTAAAATTGTTTCATAGATTAGTTTAAATTAGGATCCAAATAAGATTCATACTAGTAATTGGTTGACAGATCTCCTATTTATAACCCTTACATCTTTTTTTAGTCTGGCAGTTTCACCCCCATCTTTTTTTCCCCCCTTAGAATCTTTTTATTGAAGACACAGGTTATAGACATTTAATGTCCCTTTGTCAATAAATTTCTATGTTTTATTGTTGATGAGGTAGTAAAATAAACCATTAAAACTTTGTATTAAAAAATTGTTAATATACCTTTCAGAGAGGGAAAACTTAGCAGAAAAATTTTTTTCTTTGATAGCTAAACTCAAATTTTGTAGTAATTTTTGTAAATCTGTTGAGTCATCTTTGCTATAAAATCTGCTTTAGGGTTTATACACTTTAACTACACTTAATCTGAAAATATTTGTTTATTCATTCATTTCTTTTTTGTAGCCATTGGAGAAGAAGTTTGTCCGAGTTTCAGGAGAAGCAACTATTGGGCATGTAGAAAAATTCCTCAGACGAAAAATGGATCTTGATCCAGCTTGTCAGGTAGAGTACATGTGTGCAAAAGGATGGGTAAAGATGTGAGGTTACCTTACAAAGAATTGTTTCTAGATTTTCATGCAGTGGCTTTTGGCTTTTGATATTATAGATATTGTATATGCCAATTGATATTGGTACACAGTGATTCCCACGCCAACTTCAATCATATTTGACTTACTGTCTGTTCCTCCCTGCCATTGATGACCATATATGAGACCCCTCAAAATATCTGTCTAATATAGACCCTATTCATTTTTTTAAGGATTGAAAGTATTTCCCATTATAACTATATAATACTTTCTTGTTGTAAAATGAAAACCTCAATCCTAATGTATTTTTTAACATAAAGTGTAATTATACTCGTGGATTTAATGTGGGCCACTGAAAATGCACATTTATATAATTTTGCTTTTTCGTTAGTCAAATTTAAAAGGGATTTTTATTCTTTATCATATGTAAAATTTCATAGAATAATATTTATTTAAAATATCTATTTGCTCTTTAGTAAATTAATAGATATTTTAAAGCTGGCTGAAATTTTGCTGGTATTTTTACTACCAATATCTATTCTACTAAATATATAATAAGTATATTAAATTCAATGAAATGTGACTTCTCTTACTGAGCTTGACATAATGCTGGCTGTATCTCATCCATCTGAAGTTTATCACATTGTAGCCACAACATATTTGAGGTTATTCTTAGTCTTTTGGTTAGAAATAGCTATTTGGAGACTTCTGGACAAAGAATTGTGAGCAATCCCATAACAGTTTATTGTTGCTAAAAGCATAAATCATAAGACTTGAACCTGATTTTATAGTTTTAACTAACGTAGCATGCAAAAGCCCTTTTTCTAGGATATAGATTATATCCTCTGGCTAGATATTGATCAGAGCATGATCACCATTGATAAGTTTCACATTTGGTGTTTTAAGAAATTTAGTTGCCAGAGCTCTAAATTGGTTATATTGTATAAAAGTGTGAGTTTATTTTTTTCTTCATATCATAGAATTCAAGGCTTTTAGCATTTTGAAATAAAATGATAAAAAAATTTGTTTAATCTTCAATTTTCTATATCAACTCTTGGCTCTATAGGTAAATAATTTCTTTTCTATTCAGGAACTATATAGCTGGTAACATTCATAAATTACTATTAAACCAAAATGTTAAAATAATGGAACAGAATTGTCAAATATGCGGACCTGTTAATTTATGTCTAAAATTATTAAGCCTTCTAAATACAAGAGAAGTATAAGTTACTTCTACTTTGAGCAAAACATGGAACTAGTTAACCATTAAAGGAAAATTCTTGGTGAAGCCTGTCACTTGAGCTTGCTGTGCTGACCTTCTTTAAACCAGTTCACTCCAGGTAGGAAATGTGTGCTTGTTGGCAGACATCTGACCTTCATATATGGTTATTTCCTAGCAGGAATGAATGGTTACTAGAGGACTGTTAAATTATGGACTGTCTTTAAAGTTATTTGTGGCAGATCAAAATAAAAAGAGAAGACAGTGTTAAAAGACAGATTGTGTACACATTGTAATTATGTTAATAAAACCATAAAATTTTGCCCCCCCAAAAAAAGGTATTATGAACTAAGAGGCGCAGGACATGGTAACTGATTGCATGTGAGAAGAAAGGAAAATTGGGAATCAGAGGTGATATTCTGGTTTAGAGGACAAGGAGAAATTTCATGCCATAAACTAAATAAGGACGTTAGGAGATGGAGCAAATTAAGATATATATAGTAATAAGACTGTTGAGGAACTGATTCCATTTAAGGCAACAGGAAAGGAGCACTCAATGAAAGAGAGAGGTTAAAATTTTGCTTTTCTAAGCAACTCAGTATACTGGAATTTTATTATACTATATTACTGTATAACTGTATAACTATTCTTTCTAGAGCATTCTGTATAAAAGTAGGTTTATCTTAGAGCTGTGACATTACTAAAGGGCTTAAAAAGACCTCATTAAAAAAGTTCCCTTCATGTTTACTTTACTGTTAGACTTAGTAAATAATTTTGATTACTGGCTGTCCTGTGCTATTACCTGCTCTGTCCTCTGATGCTCTTCATTATTTACTCTTGTAAAAAGTTTCTAACATCTTTCTTGAGAGTGTTTGATTCGTCTAAAATAAAACAGCAAAGTGTAGTCTAAAAATAATTATGTTAATGTTTCCTAATTTTTTCATATGGTTTTTTTGAAGCAGTAAAGCATCTAGTACTTTGTTTGCCTGTAGGTAGATATCATTTGTGGCGATCACTTGTTGGAGCGATATCAAACTCTAAGGGAAATTCGACGTGTAATAGGTGATGCAGCAATGCAGGTAGGTCTTAGATTTTATCATACTTAATGTCTTAGGCAAGTTATTTAAAAAAAAAAAAAAAAAAGCTCCATGTTATCAGTAAAATTTTAATAAATATTCTACAACTTTCTTAAAATTACCTGCACTATAAGTAATAAAGCTAACATTTATTGAATGCTAACTGTATGTTGGGCAATTTTTTAAAATGTTTTACATGGATTAGCTCTTTTATTCCTCATAAATTCTATGGTGTAGGGTATTCTTTTCTCCCTATTTTATTTTTTATTAAAATATAGTTAATTTGTAGTATAAATTATTTTCAGGTATACAACATAGTTATTCAGTTATCCTCCATTTTAAATAGAAGGATGCCAAGTTACAGAAAGGACATGTAGTAACTTGCTCACAGTAAGTTAGTGAGTGAGCCATGGCTCAAAATGCAGGCAGTTTGATTCTAGAGGCCTCTGCTCTTTTTTCTCTGTCTTCATACTACAATAGAACTCTGAAGACCACATCTGCAAATACATCTGCAAGGACATTTTCGTAAGAAAAATTTGCAGATATTCATTTGGCATTAGAGATTCACATACCATTTCTTGCTCAATAGGTAAAAAGTCATGGCAACTACCACAATATTTTGAAGTTTTAATTAACCTGTAATGTGATGAAATATAATGTAAAATCTTCTAGTCAGGATAAATGAGAAGCTAGATAGGATCTAAATATTAATGAAGAGAAAAGCAAGGTATTACTAAACCTAGAGTGATGAATTATTTTAAGAGCTGTATGGCTCTGAGAAGCTTATAAAGTACTAATGGAAATTTGATGAGCACCTCTGAGCTTAAATGAATTTTTGTTTAACTTGTTAGAAATATAATTCTTGCTCTAGCTGATTTGGCTCAGTGAATAGAGTGTCGGCGGTCCCTGGTTCAATTCAGTCAAAGACACATGCCTGGGTTGTGGGCTCAATTTCCAGTAGGGGGCATTGCAAGAGGCAGCCAATCAGTGATTCTCTCTCATCATTGATGTTTCTATCTATATCTCCCTCTCCCTTCATCTCTGAAATCAATTTAAAGAAAGAAAAAAAAGGAGTATAATTTTTTGTTTTGGTGTAATTGCTTATGCTCAGTGAACAACTACTTAAAATAAGAGGAAGAGTATTCTAAAAATTGTCTTGTTGGTGTGGATTATACAGTTCCTTGGAAGAAACAGAATGAATGCACACAAATACTCTTACATGCATACACAATACAGGGGTGGTCAAAGTAGGTTTACAGTTTGTATGTCACAATGTCACACTTAGGTTCAATCTCATAAGTGTTCAAATTGCCGGCCTGCATTATTTATACATTCTTTTTTTTTTTTTTTTTTTTTTTTTTTATATATTTTATTGATTTTTTACAGAGAAGAAGGGAGAGAGATAGAGAGCTAGAAACGTCGATGAGAGAGAAACATCAACCAGCTGCCTCTTGCACACCCCCTACTGGGGATGTGCCCGCAACCAATGTACATGCCCTTGACCGGAATCGAACCTGGGACCTTTCAGTCCGCAGACCGACGCTCTACCACTGAGCCAAACCGGTTTTGGCTATTTATACATTCTTATAATCTACTTCCTATACTTAAGCACACTTTGACACCAAGTGCTTTATAAACTTACTTTTGCCTACCCTTATATATATTTTAATGACAATGAAATGCGTGAGTTTTGACAAGGACATATTCCTGTTTTAACTCAAACCACTTCTTGAGATTTGGAACACTGCTGTCACCCCCAGAGGCAACTCATTAATTTAAAGCATAGTGTATTTACAGAATTTTAAAACTACCATATAATCAATTTTAGAACATTTTTATCACCCAAAAATAAAACTTCCAGCCTTTGTCAACCACTACTCTACTTTTTGTCTCCAGATTTATCTAATCAGGACATTTTATATAAATGGAATCATACAGTATTTTGTCCCTTCTCATTGCTGAATAATATTCCATTATATGGAAATTCACAATTCAAGAGAAGGCTAATACTTGGAAGGGCAGCAATGGAAGAATTAAGAAAGATCACTGAAGCAGAGATGTGTCATTATAGAGATCAAGGCTAAGGTCATCCACACGTTCTTATTCTCAATTACCATATGCAGATGTGAAAGTTGGACAGTGAGGAAGGCTGGTAGGAAAAAAATTGATTCATTGGAGGAAAGTTCTACAGATCACCTGGATTATCAGAAAGACCAAGTGGGCCCTAGAGCAAATTAAACCTGAAACATCACTGGAAGCAAAAACGACAAAACAAGCTGTCCTACTTGTGGAGGGAGGTGATTGGCAGTGGTGGGTCCAGTGAGTGGGTGACCCCAGGCTGGCCAAGGCAGATGTTAGCAGGGACCCCCAACCACCCTGCTGGTAGCCCCACAGATTGGCCCTGATCTCTGGCCAGGCCTAGGAATCCTACCTGTGCATGAATTTCATGCACTGGGCCTCTAGTAAATAATATTTATATATTAATATAAATTTATATGGAATTTAAGTATAATAAACCTATAGATATAAATTTGAATTATAAGTAATTATTTGATAAAATGTGATTTTATAATGTATTGAAGTTTTGTGGTTTTGAAATCGCTTTTAAGTTGTATTTTCAGTTTTATATCTACATATCAATATATAGTTTTGCAAATGTTGTTTTTCTTTCTGAAATGTAATTATGCAAAAAAAATCTTTATCTAAAATGTAATTGCATTCATGTAAAAATGTTAATAGAATCTTTCTATTTGTGTTATAATACAAATTCATTTACTTTGATTAGGCTAATTGGTCTAGAGCAGATCTGATGCTCCATGGGCCAAACATGGTATGGAATTATGCTTTATTTGGCTTATTGTGTTCTAAATTACCTGAGTTTAAATTCCTTTAACTAGGCATGTGTTTTCTGGTTTACTGCTGGTCTCAACATTCCTTATTGACTTACATACCTAACTCATATCTCCATTTGTTACTTTTCTAGCCCTTGTGGGCATTTGAATTTGTGAATCTTTCTAGAATTCTGGTGAGTTTTCATTAGAGTTGCCAGGAACAGAAACCAGATTGCAATGAGTTGAGCAGTGAATGAGAAATAAGGAAGCAGAGCCATGGAAAAGCTTAATAAAGAAGAAAAAGTAATAGCTAGAGCAGGATTGTAAATGCAAGGCATGCAGGCTGTCACTCTTCTTTGTTGCTCAAAGTAGGCCAATTGTTTGTGGCACACTTTCCCAATGAGTTTTTTTTTCTTTTTTTTTCCTTTCTTTTTTTTAAAGCTGGTTTCATAATAGATTAGAAAATAGTACCTTTAAAAGATAGATTTCTTGCTGGACGCAGCCTTGGTGAGAACACAAAGAATTAGGATCTGATAATAAGACAGGAGATAGACCAAAAAAAGCAGATAAAAAAGACTCAGAAGCACAGTATCTGGAGTCATTTAGTAGAGAGTTAAGTTTTCTAACACCCACTGAATGAGGACATCGCTGTGTTACAACACAGTATAGTTACTGTTCATAATGAAGACTCTAGATATCAAAAGTTAAATTGTACTGAACAGTCTTTAAGGAAGAAGTAAAACAATGATATACTTAATGTATAAGAGTTCCAAAGTTTTCCCACTTATAATATTAGAGAGCTGCTGTTTATGTGGAATTGAATATTTAGCAGATCCATCATGCTTGATAATAATTGAAGCTCTTTTTAGGGAAGCCCAATGCCTGGATGGTCTGTTTAGTAGTCTGTATAGAAGGAAAGGTGTATTTCTTTTTGTTCTTTTTGGAGGACTGTTTAGCCACAAACAACCCAGGCTAACTGTGGATACCTGGTAGTTTCAGAATTGTCTCCTGAAAGTTATTAAAAGGTACATTGACAGGGAATGTAGGTGATGAGGTGAGTGAATAAGCAAATTTATTTATCTTGGACCCTTTATTCTCTTTAAAGAATTTCACATTAGTGCTGGGTTATGAAAAACAAACCATCTTTGATTTGATTACTTATATAACTATTTCAAATAACTGCAAAAACACTTTTATTTCTTTTCAGGATGGTCTTCTGGTCCTTCATTACGGTCTTGTGGTTTCTCCTCTGAAAATTTCTTGAAGATTCTAAGAGTATCAGGAGGAAGGAAAGAAACAAAACACAGTGGCTTCTGCAGGCTTGCATCTCACCAAAGATTTTTATAAAACATAATTGCTGCCATTTTGTGCTAAGACATAACAACTGTTTTGAGCACCAAGCATCATAATATTTATAAATACAACTTGGAATGCTAGAATGCATCTATTTTACTAGCAACTATAATACTTTGCAGACTGGATTAATGCGAAGGCAGACAGTTTCAATTGCCAGAAAGGAGTTCCTTCTGTTGAGCTCAAGTCTGGCTTAAGGTAAAGATAAAATATTCGCTGAAACTGGTTTGGCTCAGTGGATAGACCATCGGCTTTCGGACTGAAGGGTCCTGGGTTCGATTTCGGTCAAGGTACCTTGGTTGCGGGCACATTCCCAGTAGGAGGTGTTCAGGAGGCAGCTGATTAATGTTTCTCTCTCATCCATGTTTCTAACTTTCTAACCTCTCCCTTCCTCTCTGTAAAAAAATCAATAAAATATATATTTTTAAAAAAGATAAAATATTGTCTAACACTAAAGGACATCAGGAATTTTATATGTCATGTGTGAGTCCTTATGCCAGGAAATAATGAGCGATAGAAGTTACACCTCTCATATTCATATATATTGTATAACAGGTAACCTTTGTGAGTTAATTTTTTTTTTAAATAAGCACTTCCTAAGGAAGAATGCTTTTTTTGCCCTGTGCAAAAATCAGCAATTGACTAGAATCTGGTACTGATTGTATTCCCAAACTCCAGGGATGATGCTAATGATTTTGGTTACACTCTGCTGAGCATTCTATAACCTCTAACAGCATGTGACAGAGTTAAAAATGAAATGACTCAGACTCACAAAGAATAGAGACCACTTGCCCAGCAGGGAAGATGAGTAGCCAGGTGGTGACCTACAGTAATTAATCAATGAGGAAGCGAGCCCAGAGACTCCTCCAAGATCAGTCTTCATTTTTCTTTGTAGCCTGGGCTTTCTCTATTTTGTTTCATACAGAATTACTGAAGCACTGTAAAAACATAAATCTTTAAATGTCTGCAGTGTGACTCACTCTGCTTTATTACAATTTTGATGTGTGTGTGTGTGTGTGTGTGTGTGGTGTATGTGTGTGTGTGAAGGGATTGTAAGAAAGAATCTATGAATTTTAGCTAATCCCCACCCCCACCTAGTAAGCTTGTGCAATATCAGCATAAAACATGAGGGCAATCTAATCTAATAGGAGATTGATAAAAGAGAAGTCCTTTGATCTACCAAATGACTATTCTTTTCACCCTTTAAGGGGAACATGACAATGTAGTAAAGACAGCCCTTTGTTTGACTGGATTCAGGAGCCCTCACCCATTTGCAAATGGCAAATCCATGTGAGATATCTGAAAATAGTAAAAAAAGGCATAAAGATATTACTCTAACCCAGCAATTTTCAACTGATGATCTGCAAGAATCTTTGAAACATGCAATACCTGACTTTTATAGTCAGGGGCAGTGACCTCTTTTTCTTAGATTGTCAAATAAAATGACAACAGCCAATACAACAATAGCTGTCCAGTGTGTAAATAAATAAATAAAAAATATGGCTATTCTTTTTGTCAGTGTGGCAAAAAATATATTTTTGGTGTACTGCAAAATTTTAATAATTAGTTTATGTGTGCCATGAGGTGAAAAAGATTGAAAATCACTTACCTGCCGAAACCGGTTTGGCTCAGTGGTAGAGCGTCAGTCTGCGGACTGAAGGGTCCCAGGTTTGATTCCAGTCAGGGGCATGTACGTTGGTTGTGGGCACATCCCCGGTGGGGGGTGTGCAGGAGGCAGCTGGTCGATGTTTCTCTCCCATCGATGTTTCTAGCTCTCTATCTCTCTTCCTTCCTCTCTGTAAAAAATCAATTAGATAAGTGATTTTTTAGAATATATATTTATTTCAAAATATATATTTTTAAAAATCACTTATCTAATGTGTACATTAGATTTGAGCATGTAGCAAAGCTAGTAATGTATATTCTACAAAGAAAAATACAATTTCACATATGAGTTCTTTTTTTATCCTCACTGAGAACATACATACAGAGAGGGAGAGGCAGAAGGAGGAAGAGAGAGGAAGAAAACCATAGAAACATTGATGTGAGAAACGTTGATTGGTTGCCTTCCATACAACTTGGAATCGAACTATTGTAGCAACCAACCTTGTCAGTGCACAGGGTGATGCTCAACCAACTGAGCCACTCTGGCCAGTCTGAGCTCTATTTTAAGACCCTTCAAAGTCCCCCAGTAATTCCCATTTTAGATTTCTATGCTTTCAGGCACCCCAATTTATTTTTCTAAAAAAAAAATGCATTCTTATGATTTAGATGTTTTTCAGAACCTTAGAGATTTCTGACAGTATAATAATAAAAATAATATTGGTTGGAAGTCAGTGATGCATGCTCAGAACAGGCAACATTTCTAGTTTGTTTCTCATTCATGCACAAGGAGATTTTGGACTTTTCCTCCAGGCTCTGTTTTGAAATCAATATGCTTATTAGATCTGACTTCTGTTGTCCTAATGGAATTCTTCCAAATTGGAATTGACCCAGGGTGGCTGGGCATAATGGTCTCAGCTGGAGCAGAAGGTATAGTAGACTTTATAATTATGCTTTTCTTAGAGTTCCATAAATTCACTTATGGATTTTTTAAATTGAGCTAAAATTTACATGACATAATATTAATCATTTAAAAGTGAACAATTCAGGGGCATTTAGTACATGCACAATGTTGTGCAGTTACCACCTCTAGTTCCAAACATTTACATCATCCAAAATAAAACCCCACGCCCATCCAGTCGTAACTCCCCATTTCCTCTTCTCTCGGCCCTGGCCACTGCCCATCTGCTTTCTGTTCCAAGGGATTCTTACATAATTTTAAATACCGCTTCATGTTTGCTATTAGAGCCACGGGTCTAGGCTCCCTGTTTGTGTTCACAGGTAAGTTCTAGAAGCTTATCCCCAGAACTACATGTGACTTGCATTATCTCTGGATCTAAAATTTGGGATCTAGTTTCCAGGCAGTTTGGTAGCCAGTACAGTAAAATGAATTCCAAGTATCCTGGATTTATTGCCTCTTGAGGAATTGTCCTTTTTAGGCCCTTTGATAATGAGCTACAGAATTTCTTGCCAAATAATAAAAAAAAATATATTTTTTTAATAAATAGCATCCAATTCTATCTTTTAGCAGGAGCAGAGATGACTCATAGTTAGTTGGCTCAGAGCCCAGTTTTGAGCTGCCACCACCTCACTGCAATGCAGGAAGGCAGTGGGCTCAGGAAGTCTGCAGAGTATATCAGTTTGCCTATAGGACTTACTGTTGCCAAGGGTTTGGGAGGCTAAGAAACCTGGAATGGGAGGGTGATAAAGAAGATAAAACTATTTCTATTCCCTCAAGTGAGGGGGCTTTCTCTTACCTAGGAAGGGAAAGCAAGCATCGCAGAATCAGAAAACCGAGCTTCGAATCCCAGTTTTGTTCCGTGCTGTGTGATATCAGACAAGGGTCTTACCTTGTCATTCCAAGCCTCTACTCCTTCATTTGCAAAATGGGTATACAAATACTACACTTAAAGCGTGGTTGTGACCCCAACTGGCATGGCTCAGTGGGTAAGTGTTGACCTATGAACCAGGAGGTTATGGTTCAATTCCCATCAGGACACATGCCCGAGTTGTGGGTTCCATTCCCAGTATGAGGTGTGCAGGAGGCAGGTGATCAATGATTTTTCTCTCATCATTGATGTTTCTCTCTCCCCCACCTCTTCCTTTTCCCCTGAAATCAATAAAAATTTTTAAAAGGAAACATCAATTAAAAAAATAAAAGAGTGGTTGTGAGGTTTAAATGAGATAATTCTATGTTCACTGCCTGATACAGTGTCTAATACATAATAAGTAAGTACTGAATAAATTATAGCTATAATTATAACATAAATTAATAAGTCTTAGGATACAAAGGGCCTCGTTACCTAATGAATGGAAAAATCATGTTTGGATATCATTCATGTGCTTTGCAGACAAGGCCTCCTCACAATCTCATAGGCTCACTTTGTTGCCCTGTTCTGCTGTAACAGCTGATATTCCTTGCTTTCCTTCCCTTCTCCCCACCTCATATTTCCCTGTTAGTGTAATTATTCTGACTTAATAATTGATCAACCCCATAAGATTCTTTTAATATCTTTATTTTATAAATGAGCTCATGAAATTTAGTGGAAACTCACTGGAAATAGGAGATACAAATTAGTCAGAGCCATAGATTATATAAATGTAGGACTCTGGTTTGGCCTAGAGAAGGATTAATTAACTAAAGTATTCTTAGAAGCAGCAACCAATGTCTATATTGCAGACCCATGTATTGATTGTTGTTCCTTAACAGGTCCTAAAACATGTTTTAATTACTATGAAACTCATTGTTAGTAATGACTAACAGAGGAACCAGTGATGTATCTTTGAGTGGCATACAAGCCAGATGGACTAATAATGATAGTGTTGTTCAGGATTCGGCAAACTTCAGCTTCAACTACCAGCATCAGCAGTGAGCTGCATTCATATATCCCCTCGTATGCAGTCTCCATCCTAGAACCTGGCATGGCATCAGGAAATCCCAATTTGGCGCCCACAGACTTATGGACCCCAAAAGTAGATAGTCCTAGAGGAGTCACAAGGCCCTTGATCTGCACAAAGATTTTTGTGTGTGTGTTTCTGGGAAAAGGGTTTATAACTTTTTCCAAGAGGTCTACAATTTCAAAGAGGTTAAGAATCATTTACAGCCAGAAAACGGTTTGGCTCAATGGATAGAGCATCAGCCTGTGGACTGAGGGTCCCAGGTTCGATTCTGGTCAAGAGCATGTACCTTGGTTTCGGGCACCTTCCCAGTAGGGGGTGTGCAGGAGGCAGCTGATCTAGATGAGAGAGAAACATCAACCAGCTGCCTCCTACACATCTGCTACTGGGGATGTGCCCGCAACCAAGGTACATGCCCTTGACTTGACCAGAATCAAACCTGGGACCTTCCAGTCCGCAGGCCAATGCTCTATCCACTGAGCCAAACTGGCTTTGGCTAATAAAATATATATATTTTTAAAAGAATCATTTACAGTAGAGGAAAACTGTATTCCTGTTGCCCATGTTCTACCTAAATATCCCTGCTCTTCAGAAGCACAATCCCATTTTCGAAGAAGATTCTTATTGTCTTGAAGGACTTTTTATCATGTGTGTTCTGACAGTGTATGCTCAGAAATGTTCACCAAGCTAAACTAATTAAATCATTATCCAGGCACAGAATGCAGTCTCATCATTGGATTGGATTTCCCCACTTCCTGCCATTAACTGCTCACTCAGTGCATCACGTGTGTCAGACCAG